AAAACTCTAAAACAATTTCTGGAAGTCAGAATAACAGGAAGTAAAAAAAAAAAAATCTTAAACAAAATAAATATAAGAAGCATGCTTAATAAATCGATTAAAAAATACACAAGCAGCTAAAAATTAAACTTTACAAATAATACTTTTTGTTGAAGGAAGTTAGTCGACTTTTCTTCACATAATGGGTGATAAATATTCAGGACATGGCCAGTTTTAAGATTTTTATTACTGTCAATATTTCAGTTGTGTCAAGCTTGTGTCGAAGATGTTCAACCAAGTACTCTTGAACACCTTCAATGCGTGCCCTGATGATGACCCACAAGCTTGGGTTTAAAGGTTGTTAACAATAAAAACCATAAAAACTGACTGCGACCTGACTATTTACCCATTTTTTTTTTCAAGTAATACTATTCAGAAAAAAATGTCGTAACTTTGAAAATGTTGTTAACAATAAAAACCATAAAAACTGACCTCGACCTGACTATTTACCCATTTTTTTTTTCAAGTAATACTATTCAGAAAAAAAATGTCGTAACTTTGAAAATGTTCGTATCTTTGAAGAGACTCATGAATTCCTGCTTAAGATTTGTCTTCGGAACATTGGGGCGATCTCATGTGTCCCTTACGACGAGTTAAAAGTGGCTTTTCTCTTCTTTCAGCAGACAATATTTCCTTGGATATTTCCTATTCCACACAATCAACACCCGAAACCCTTCCTACATCCACAGTCTCCTACAGTTCAAACCCGTGGTCTACTCTCAGAAAACAAGATCCCGTGTTTCCGACCTTTATATCCCTTCCCATAGAACTAAGACATTTGAATATTCCTTTCTTGCCCGATCCACTGCCTTCTGGAATTCCTTGCCATCTGATATCCGCCATGCCCCTTTCTTGTCCATATCATCTATACCGATTCATTCTCACATCCCAAAATGACATTGTACAAGAAAAAAAATATTGTGAAACAGATTTTGGCTGAGGTGAATGGTTGTTGAAATTGTTTGAGTTTTAGTTTTAAAAAATCAACCCATGCTTATATTATTTATTTTTTACCTGTTTTCTTTTCATTTAAATAACGTTTTTTTCCCTTCAAAATGTTGTTACTTTTTATTTGTTTTAATATACTTTAACTGAAGATACTGCACATATTCTTTAATGTTGATTAATGTAATTTTTGGCCAGATGCGGTTTTTTTTTTGTTTTGTTTTTATTTTGTTCATAATTATTGTTCGTAAGGGACCTCGTCTTGCTAAAATAAAGTTTATTTTCTATTTATCTATCTAAAAAATAACATTTATAAAAAAGTGTCTTGTATTCATGTTAAACTCTCATTTAACTACTACTTATAGTCCTTTTTTTTTTTTTTAAGAATTGTCAAAATACAGTTTTATTTTTATTTTTGCAACACGTAGATATTAATATTAAAATATTTTGGAAAAAAATTGTACCTATACTTTTAAACTATGGTGTGCCAGAGTATGATGTATCATGTGTTACTCCACAAAATTTCAAATCGAGTTACCAAGGGTTTAAGCATCAATGTTCTACTGGATGAAATGGAATGTAGCCAGACGAAAACTATTGAGGTTCTATTGAATCAAAATGTTCACTAAATACGAATAACTCCTTTTTAATTTTTCTAAAAAATAAAAAATATATTTTAGTTATAAACAATTGCCAACTCATCCAGAGTATACAGCAGAATATGATAACAGGTTAATTGAGAGACAAAACATTAACATCCCTCCTTGAGAACAGGAAATAATGAGGTCAGAAAGGAGGAGGTGCGGGTTTAGCATCGTCCACGGCGTTCCGGGATGTTTAGGGCCAATCATTAGAACCATTGATGATATTGTGAAAGAACACCAGCGGCGATATCTCAATGAACGCTCTGATAGTGGCTTGTATCTCTTATCTCTCCGAGGTTACAGAAAAGAGATACCTAACTCACTAAAAATAAAATGATAAAACTGATGATTTCAAATATAAATAACTTATCAAATTCCAAAATTACTTATTTAATTCATATTATCATTTGTAAGAATTGTAACATTATCGAACGGATAATTATGGTCAGATTAAAAAAAAAAAGTTGGAAAATATAGACTTTAATTTTTTAAATAAAACTAATTTTAAAATAAAAAATATAATTTTTTAAAATAGTTCCTTGTAAAAACTTAAATATTTGTATAATAAAAAGTCAAGAATAGTTGACAATTGATGCTTCTTATTTTAAGAACCTCTTAAGAAAAATATATTTTATAAATTAATTAATTAATGAAGATAAAAGAGGTCCTAAAATTCAAAACACGATTTTAATTATTTTATGGAAATTCATTATTTTTTAAAGGTTGTTGGTGTCAAAAAAAAAAAATTGAACAACTTTGAACGAAAAAGAAAGCTTTATCTTAATAATTAAAACTGTTAAAGGCGGTAATTTAGAAATTACATCAAATATCTTTCGAATTACGGAGTTGATATTTAGGGCTCCACAAAGCCATCGAATTCCTCAAGAATCCAATAATCCTTACAATCCAAAATCCGATTTGGCCCAATCCAGGTATCTATCTTTCCATAACAAACTTCAGAATCATTCAAACCCTCTTGTTTCTAAACTTGCTTTCTCTTCGATGCCTGATAACCCATCAAGGCTTCTGAAAAGAAGATGGCCTCCAGATCTCCTATTTTAAATACATTCTTTAGAGTGCTACCAATCGATAGTTTCTCATGTTATTATTTTCTGTTATCATATTTATTGAGTGTATTTTAATTCTTAATACAGTTGTAAATATCATAAATATATTTTATTAAAAATCCAATATCAATATTTATAAAATGATTTAAAGTTGGTTGTAATTTTATTTGAAGAAACTAAAGAGTGAAAATCAAGGATTTAAAATATTGTACTTTATGTACAGAGGTATAAAAAATTCTTCGAACAAAATCAAATTTGTATAAAAATGATAAATGTTTTGATTTAAAAGCGGTTATATCATCTTAATTGTAAACTAATATAATCCTGTGGACATTATCCATTTTTTAATAATTATGATGGTTGTTAAATAATAATTTGTTTCAAACATAATATAGTTACAAAAGCTGAAATTTCGTACCCGAATAATTTTTACTTATAACATATTTTTAAACGAAGTGAAAAGGAATAATTTTTACAGAAAAAAAGTCGAAATTTATTTTCTCATATTTTAATTAAGTGATTTTCTCCGTAACAGGATGGTAGATTTTTTTCATAATCGAAATGTCTCCATAGAATAGACAATATCTGAAGAGTTGTTATCATACTTGATTCAACTAAAATTTCCTGATAGTTTTATCTCATATTTAATAACAACTGTAACTTCCAATTAAGTCGAAGAAGCATGCCTAAATTATGCAAAACACCCACAAAAAAAAGTACACGAGTTAAGTTTCATTTATGGACATCCCTTTATTGCAAGCAGTTCACAATTGAATTATGTAATTAAGAAATACTTGGCAACAATTCAAAAAAAGAAGAAAACAGAAGTAAAATTAGAATAATAATTCCATTATGGTATGTTTAGTTTATATTTCTTCCAAGGCTTCTATTTCAAAATTAAGGAATCACTACATAAGTCCATTATCTTATGCAGAGGGTCAGAATTTCACTCAAAATAATTGACAAAAGAGTTCAATAAACTATACAACTAATAATTATGTTATATTACAGGTAATAAAACGATGAAGTGGCTATTTCATTTATGCCGTTATAGCTTTCGCTCCCCCACCCAATGTTTTCCTCCAAGTGGCGATAAAATTAAAACAATTCGAGACTACTTTACTTGAATCGAAGATGTAAAAGAACATGACACATGCAATGCCATATTTTTTAAAACTAGAAATATCACTAAACATAATAATCGAAAATGTTGTAATTGGAGTTAGTCATTCTGTCAACTGAAAGGCTCAATTAATATCAAGAAAAAAAAAAAAGTGTACTTTACGTCACACTGTAGAAGCGATAAATTCAACAATTCGAGATTAATAATATGACACATAAATTTTTCTTGGTTCCCATTTCACAGGATTATAAAATTTACAATATAAGATTATTATAGTTGTGTATAAGCTATTTGTTCTATATTCTCAAAATAATTACTTTTACAAGATAGAACACATTTCAAAGAGAATGAAATCCTGAACACTTCCCTCCCTTACAGTATGCAGGTCCAATTTTTTAGTTTTTGAGATATTTAAATCCGTATGCAAAAACACTTCAATAAGTCGACTCCAGCCGACTTTACCTGAGCGTCACTTCAATTCACTTTCCACAAAAAAAGTGCAAACGAAGTTTTCACTTCATAAAATGAATATTGGAATTAAAACGATCACTTAAAGTTAAAATAAAAATGTGAATATTCCATTACGGGTAGTGTTGCCCAAATGCGAGACCCAGACGAGTCTTGGACATGCAAACTCAGTCTTGGTCTTGCGCAAGAGTCTCGCAGTTACTCATTAGCTTATTACTATAGAGATATTACTGTAATTTTGTAGATGGGAGAAACCTAACTAAGCCTAAATGAAAAATTAGACGAGTTAAATGCAAAAGTATATTGGTTATACCAATTATTAACATATAGTAAACTAAGATTGTCAAGTATTAGTAACTATTTTGCCTTAATTTTTATTTAAAAATCGATGTTTTTTTTTTACCATTCCTTGTCTTGGTCTTGCAACAGTTAGGCGGCCTTGGTCTTGGTCTTGCAAAGTGCAAGAGGAAGATCGATTTTGGGCAACACTAATTACGGGCCATAATCAACAGCTCGTTAACGAAGTTTTTGAAATTAAATTTTAGTAGAATAATACTAATAATAACACATTAAAGTTATAAGAATGAGAAAAAGAAAGAATAAGGGAACTAAACATAAAATATATATTGCAAGGAGAAAGAGGGATAATATATGGTTATTTAGGAAAAAGAAGCATGGAGAGTGAGAAAGAGAGGTGACGGCGTTATACGTCTTATGAGAGCGAGAATGACAAGAGGAAAGAGAGGGACAGAAAAAAAGAGAAGCCCGACCCGGGGACCGTGGGTGGGAGGCCAAATGGAAAAGAAACCGCTAACCTTTTTACCGACTCGAGGGGCGGTAGATGAATGCCCGTCCCTCACGGAAACGGGCCGCTTCCAAGAACAAGCCGCCCTTCCACAGTTTCAATAAATTACGTCCAAGTCCCGCCTGTCTGTCACCTAATCAATGACATATGGAGACGCCACTAATACAGTTAAACCGATAGCATTATCTGGATCATTAGTAGGCAAGTCCGAAGGATGGCGGGTCCAATATACTCCAACAGCCATCACTAAAAATCCACTACCCTATCAGATTTAGAGAGGATTGAAATTGTGAGGTAAAAAAAAGTTCTTGTAGTATAGCGTGTTGCCCAGTGAGAAAGGCTTTAGGTTACAAAAAATTTACAAGGTCAATTCTTTCGACCGAAATTTTGTCCTGGAAATGTTAGTAAAGAAGTTTTATTTCCTCAGACTTTTTATGGGCGATAGATGATCAGGAATCAGATTTTTATTTGCCGACGTTTCAACCCAAGTATGTGGGTAATCACCAGCACCGAAGGTGTTGAGTACTTGAAATGTTGAAACGCTGCCAAATAAAAATCTTAAAAACAGACTTCCTTATTATCCTATAATATGTAGAACAGTCGATTAACTTCTTTCAATAATTCATTCAAAAACAGACATTTTAGAATCTTTTACATGGTTAAGTTTTTTAAACAAAGCATTTTTATTTGTTTCTCCATTATTCAATTATAAAATTCTTTCAAAAGTTATATTTAACATTTTTTCGTAACTCTTAATAATTAGAGATAGATTAATTATTGAGAATAAACTATATTAAAGGTACTTTAGAGGAAGACGCATATGAACATAGGGCATTTAAGCCCTGTAAAGTGACATCAACGGGTATAATACCTAAATGATATTAAAGACCACTTAATTATACAATGATACACCGAGTTTAATCAAAATTGTTGGAGCCGTTTTTGAGAAAATTTTAAAAATGTGTTTCACAGTTAATATAAAGTGACACTTCCGGTTAGTCGATTTTAAGGGAAAAATTGCTGTGACATCTAAGGCATATATCAATATTAAATACGTAATATCAGTTGTGGACGACTTTTCGTTTTCGAGCTAGAGAGAGTGTTCACACACGTACACACTGACCATTTTTCGGGACTTCATTATTTGGACTCAGGGTACCTCAAAACGTGAATTTCTGTTGAAACTCAGACTACAAAATTTTCACGATCGCAAAACTCACCCTTACTATATATTATATATAGCGAAAGTAAATAAAACACACTTTCGGAATTTTTTTTCAGATAAGAGGACAGAAATACAGTAAGTTTGTAGGACTATATTATTTAAAATGTTCTTTCATGACAATGGTGTCTATTTGTCTTAACACAGAAAGACCGTGATACTAACATCTTAGAAAAGAATAGAGAAGAAGAACCGTGCCTCAGCATCACCGACACCTCATCACTTGAACCGGAAGCCACTCATCATCAAGGGATGCGTTAGTTCTAGTCTCGAACTAGAGGATTCAAAATGATTTTTAACACCTTCAGCTATTCCTTACTGTAATCCCTATTCTACTACAGAACAAGGCGATTGATATAAGATTTTGATCATTATAAAACTGTTAAGGTTGTGTAAGAAGTGTACAATTATTATTAGGATATTACTGCAAATATTCAAAAATGAAGCCAGAAGTCTCGAAAGACTAATAAATAGTTAGCTCGTCAACATTTTGCTGGTAAAGTTATTTTAAACGATCTCGTGAAGATTTATTATTTATATTCACTACTTTTCAAACTGTTTATCTGAGATGGATATCGTCTCTGCATTTATGACTTTATATTTATTTATAAATCGAAGAGACGCTTACTGGAAATAAGAGGCTTTTTTGGGAGCAAGAGGGAGGGGATGAAATAAAGGGGAGGAGAAATTTTTCAATGATATCCTAACATTTTTTTATGTATGTTTTCACTCTCATGAATAGGTAGGAATGGCTTAGCTATCAATTTTAAGAGAGGCCGAAGTCCAACTAGCACAATAAGTGAGCGAGTGATGTTTTCACGTTCATTATTACATTCTTTTTTTCAAATATAGTTAATAGTTTTTACTTTATAAACTGCACTGATTATTTCTTATTTGGTATGGTTTGGGCCTTAAAATTTACTAGAAGCTTCATTTATAATTAAATAATTATTAATAAGGTATTTATAATTATTAAAGATTAAAACAAGTTAAACGTCACATTTAAGTCTGGAGAAATGTAGCAAGTGAACATCGAATTAATATAAAATCAACGCAACTTAAGTATCAGAAAGAGTGGTAAATATGTTAATTAAATTATATTTTTTATTGCCATCAGTTTACTAATAAAAAAATCACGACCCAAATTCCAAATTATACTTTTTTCAATAAGTGTGCCAATGATTACATTTTCTAATCCTTTATAAAATAAATAAAATATTATTTATACCAATAACTATGGATAATTATGTATTGCAACAGTATTAACATTGGATTTACATGAAAGGGTTTTCCATTTTGAAATTGTTGGGCAGGACAGTGGTGTTAATGACACTCATTATTTTATTTATATATTTATTAATTGTGCAGAGTATATTTGGTTTAACTGACAAGCCAATATGTGTCAACTTCAAATCAAATGGCTTACTTTGACGAGTACAGATATAATTGGCAAGATTGAGAGAAGTCAGCATCCTGTCTTTTCATTCCTCAAGTTCTCGAGGAATTCTTTTTTTTTCTTCTGCAGATTTTTGTACAATTATGTCGGGAATGTTAGATCTCAGAAAAACAGCCCCTTTATCTGTTAATTCAATACCTTTCTTATGTCAGCTCCTCAATTTAATAAAATTTTAATATAGGGACCAATCAACAAATCACTTTTACCCTTCGCTATAAATCTATGACCTGTCCTACAGTATCCGTTAATAATACCCCAACGACAAGAAACCGCTCGAAGTTTCGGACTACTCCAGCACTTACTAGACAAACGTTCTAAGCCTTCAGTTAATTACAAAAGACTCATATACATGATAAGACCTAATTGGATATACGGAGTTGAGGTTTGGGGCTCCACTAAGCCATCGAATTCCTCTATTATCCAATCCTTAGAATCCAAAATCTTTCATAAAATCCTCAATGATCCATACTACGTTGTAACAAATAAAATCATCCATAACGACCTTAATGTTCCTTATGTTTCTGAACTTTTTTTTTGTTCTTCCCTACATCGCCTTTTAGGCTATACGGGATTTTCCTGGGCCCGGAGGGTGAGGATGGGAAATTTTAAAATCCCCTCCGGCACCGGGATGCGAACTCATACTTCTTTAATCTTCTCAAATCTCTTATCCGGTTGCCAGGCAACTCGCGGTGCAGTTGACACGCCTTAGAATATTTGGCCACCCCACCCCCACGTTTTATGTTTCTGACCAGGCCCAATCCAGATACTTATCATTCCATAACAAATTCCGAACCATCGAAACCCTCTAGTTTCTAATCTTGCTTCCTACTCGATCCCTGATAACCCTCCAAGGCGTCTGAAAAGAAAATGGCCTCGAGATCTCTTGATGTAAATACATTTTTGAATTGCTACCAGTGGATAGTTTCTGAACAAGTGGTTTCATGTTATATTATTGTGTTCACAATAACTAAATGTATTTTTATTTCTAATACATTTGTAAATATCATAAATTAAAAAAAATATTGCGTCTAAACGATGGAGCCATTCAAGAAAACATTATTTTAAAGTAACGAAATAATATTGCAAGGAATAAAACGATATTTATATTGATTACTTGATACAAATAAGTTCATTCAATAATAGTTTGAGGGGGTTGCATTTAGGCGACTCCAAAGTAATAAAAACTTTATTATCAAACCAATTACGAAATAAAAAATGACAATAATAGCCAGTGAGATACAAGCTAATGATTAATGAGATTTGTACTTCCAGCCCTGAAGACCTGAACGTTAGCAATTAGTCCAGTCATGAATGATTATAGAAGCAAATGGCGGGGACACAATTTTTGACCTTGGGACATTGTTTGGACTAGTAAGGAGGTAAACATACTAAAAGTCCCCACTCCTAGGTGGTGAGCCAGATGTGGGGGGGGGGGGAGGGAGATGGCGGACCTAGAAGGTCAATTTTTTCGGGTTTTCGCTTATATCGGGAAAACTATCCACCGCGTCGACAAAGATGTTCTAGACGAAATTAAAGCTGATAAAATTTACAATATGATTGATTCTGTAACTTTTTTCACTATATTATTTAGTTTCCGAGATATCCGGCCTCAACTATTGGTAATGTAAAAAAGTTTTTACATCATGTTTTTTACTGCATCTGACTAGCTTAATCTTGGTTTCTTCTTTCGACGATTAAGTAGTGAGGAAGAAAGTTTTTATTAATTAAATTGTCTTCAAGAATAAATATTATTTTACTAGTTTATCTCTAATAGTTCAAAAGTTAGATCAATTATAACTTTATATGTTTATTCCGAGAATTTGCATAAGACATTAATTTTTATAATTTTCGTTATTATTATATTGCTCTAACTCTATACATCTAAATCTCTATGAATATATCGTAACATATACATACAAACAATAACGTTTATTATAAAACTTAATTTTTTTCTGCAAATTCTCGGAATTACACATAAAGTTATAACTGATCTAACTTTTGAACCGTTGTAGATAAACTAGTAAAATAACACATATTCTTGAAGAAAATTTAGTTATTAAAAACTTTCTTCTCCATGAATTAATCGTAAAACAAAGCAATCAAGAGTCAGCTAGTTAAATATGGTAAAAACACATGAGGTGAACAATTTATTTTTCCACATTACCAATACTTTTGGACGGATATCTCGAAAACTAAGAGATAAAGCGAAAAAAACCTGTACCACTAACAACCCACAAAGGGTTATGGGTTCAGTGCAATGTGAGGAAGTGCTGTTACAAGGCCAACGGTTGTGCTGGGAGGAGAGATAACGAAAAAAGAATCAATCATATTACAAATTTTATCAGCTTTAATTTAGTATAGAACGTCTTTGTCGATGAGATGGATAATTTCCTGATATAAGCGAAAACCCGAAAAATAGCAATAAACAAGAGGCATTTTTTTTTTCTAAATTAGTTATAGTTGAGGACGGTATCTAGGAAACTAAGCGAGGTAGCGAAAAAAAGTATAGAATTAATCATATTGAAAATTTTGTCAGCTTTAACTTTGTAAACAAAGTCTTTGTCGAAGCGATGGATATAAGCAAAAACCCGAAAAAAGTGACTTACTTAGCGAAACCCTCCTCCCTCCTTCCTACCCCCCAACAACTGCCTCACCACCTAGGAGTGGGGAATTTTAGTATGTTTACCTCCTTACTAGTCCAAACAATGTCCCGAAGTCAAAAATTTTGTCCCCGCCATTTTCTTCTATACCCCTTTTTGACTGTACTAAATAGTTAAATAGTATTCATTGAAGGCACTGGTACAGAACCGAGAGGGATGGTTCCGATAGAGACTCCTTTACACTGAAAGGTAACAAGAGAAAGAAAGAGAAAATGATAAAACTATTTGATCAACGCTGATCGTTTTCTCCCAGAGCAATGATTCCATCACTAACCTCATGTATTGTCATCACTCTACATTAGTTGTTATTTTTATATTATCCATACATATCATCCATCAATATCTGTTTTATGAGAAGGAGTTAGTCGGGCTGCGGTCAAATAAATACTAAATTAAAATATAGTAATTATTTTTATTTTTTGCCGACGTTTCGACCCACTTTACAGGCTTTAGACATATGGGATCGAACTTTGGGGAACAGCAAAGAAATCAAATACAAAAATCATCCAGTCATCCCAGTCAAAAATCCTTCAGAAAATTGTAGACGCACCCTTTTATGTTTTAATCCTCACGCTACACACTGACCTTAACACTCCTTTCACCGCAGCAACTGCCACTGACCGCTTTAATAATTTTCATGACAGACTGACTCTAGATTCAGATCCACTTACTCAAGCTCTATCTTCTGCCACAAATCCATATAATCCGCCCAGAAGACTGCTGAGGCGCTGGCCAAGAGACTTATTGCATTGAGTTGCTGCATTATCTTTTTTTTGTGTGTGTTTTGTTATTATGTATGTGTTATTTTACTACTGTTTTTTTTTTTTTTGTCTTTTTGTTTTGTTATTACTATTCTTTTTGTTATGACATCATTCCTTTTCCTTGATATCATATTTGCTGAATACCGAGGTAGATGGCAAATTTATTGTGAACCACGAATATGTATTATTAATAAATAAAAAAAAAAATTTATTTTTCAAAAGTGTATAATTATAATTTTTCCTACTGTACATAGTTTTAAGTGATTTATCATAATTTTAAGTGTTTTGTATATAGATTTTTTTTTTTTTGTATATAGCTTGTTTAACTAATATTTTCTTTACTTTCTCTTTTTTTATTTATGTTTTATTTTGGCAAGATGTAGT